GTCAGAGAGACAGTCAGTCACTTACCACCTCAAAGTCTCCATCTCTGATGTCACAGAAGGCACTGCTGATGTCACGGCTGGAGAACCACTGATTGGCTCTGTGCTGTCGTTCCTTCCTGGGAGTCAGTCGACACAGAGCCTCTGATAGGCTGACCTGCAGCTCGTAGTCTGGAACAGGACCAATGAAAACACAGCTTCAGTCACCTGGAGGAGGACCTCAGTGGGCGGGGCTGTGCTCAGCCACGACCAAACACAACCAGAGGTTTCCATCAACGCAGACGGCGGTGTCTTTAAATACGCCGCGGTTTCATCCAATTCAAGGATGCTGCATCATCGCATCAAGACCCCGCCCTCAATTCTGTCAGGTTGTGCTCAAAGCATTATGGGTACTGTGACAACTGGGGACTGCAGAACAGGAAGTGGTTCTGGTTCTGGTTCTGTCTGTAAACATGTATTAATGTGTTTGATCATAACTCACCTCCAACGGTCAGAACTGCTGCTGCCACCTCAGATCTGTCAGACAGACAGGTACAGACAGACAGGCAGAGACAGACAGGGAGAGACAGGGAGAGACAGGCAGGTAGAGACAGACAGGTACAGGCAGACAGGTACAGACAGACAGGGAGAGACAGACAAGGACAGACAGACAAGGACAGACAGACAGGGACAGACAGACAGGGAGAGACGGACAGGGAGAGACAGGGAGAGACAGACAGGGACAGACAGACAGGGAGAGACGGACAGGGAGAGACAGAGAGGGACAGACAGACAGGGAGAGACAGACAGGGAGAGACAGACAGGTAGAGACATATAATCAGTGTTTTATAATCTGTGTCTGATAATCTATAATCTGTGTTATATAATCTGTGTCTGATAATCTATAATGTGTATCTGATAATCTATAATCTGTGTTTTATAATCTGTGTCTGATAATCTATAATCTGTATCTGATAATCTATAATGTGTATCTGATAATCTATAATCTGTGTTTTATAATCTGTGTCTGATAAACTATAATCTGTATCTGATAATCTATAATGTGTATCTGATAATCTATAATCTGTGTTTTATAGTCTGTGTCTGATAATCTATAATGTGTATCTGATAATCTATAATCTGTGTTTTATAATATGTGTCTGATAACCTATAATCTGTATCTGATAATCTGTAATCTGTTTTATAATCTGTGTCTCATAATCTATAGTCAGTATCTGATAATCTATAATCTGTAACTGATAATCTATAATCTGTATCTGATAATCTATAATATGTTTTATAATGTCTGTCTGATAATCTATAATATGTATTTGATAATCTATAATCTGTTTTATAATCTGTGTCTGATAATCTATAATCTGTATCTGTTAATCTATAATCTGTATCTGATAATCTATAATCTGTGTTTTATAATCTGCGTCTGATAATCTATAATCAGTATCTGATAATCTATAATCTGTGTTTTATAATCTGTGTCTGATAATCTATAATCTGTTTTATGATCTGTGTCTGATAATCTATAATCTGTGTTTTATGATCTGTGTCTGATAATCTATAATCTGTATCTGATAATCTATAATATGTGTTTTATAATCTGTGTCTGATAATCTATAATCTGTGTTTTATGATCTGTGTCTGATAATCTATAATCTGATTCTGATAATCTATAATCTGTATCTGATAATCTATAATCTGTGTTTTATAATCTGATAATAGTAGTAGTATAGTAGTGTGTCTTACAGTGTATTACAGTGTGTATTACAGTGTGTATTACGGTGTATTACAGTAGTGTGTATTACAGTGTATTACAGTAGTGTGTATTACAGTGTGTATTACAGTGTGTATTACGGTGTATTACAGTAGTGTGTATTACAGTGTGTATTGCAGTAGTGTGTATTACAGTGTGTATTGCAGTAGTGTGTATTACAGTGTGTCTTACAGTAGTGTGTATTACAGTGTGTCTTACAGTAGTGTGTATTACAGTGTGTCTTACAGTATGGGGGACGGGCTCTGGGCGGTCTGGATCAGTTTCCTCTGGTCGCGGCTCAGAGACTCCAGGATGCTGTTTAAAGTTCTGATGGCCTGAAAACGAGATCAAATCATTTCAACTTAGAGACCAGTAAGGATCAGCACAGACCAGTGCACACCAGTAAGGATCAGCACAGACCAGCATAAATGAATGTGGGAATGGTCTCTATGGTTACCTCTAGTCTCAGCGGAAAGAAGATCTCTGGTTCTAAAGTGAATCGAGCCAACTGAAGGAGAACCACAGACAGCTGACTGACTGAGAGACAGACAGGTGGAGACAGACAGGTGGAGACAGACAGGTGGGGACAGACAGGTAGGGACAGACAGGTAGAGAGAGACAGGTAGGGACAGACAGGTGGAGAGAGACAGGTAGGGACAGACAGGTGGAGACAGACAGGTGGGGACAGACAGGTGGAGACAGACAGGTGGAGACAGATACATGGGGACAGACAGGTTGAGACAGACAGGTGGAGACAGACAACATCAGACTCAAAGTGAACAAACTGTAACTGAAGATCAAAGATACAGAATGAAGGAGGAGACCTGGAAGAGACGCCTGACCCAGGAGCTGACAGACAGACAGACAGACAGACAGACAGACAGACAGACAGTTAGTGGGGGCTTTGACGTGTGTATAAGGAATAAATTTTACACCTTTAATATATTGGTGACATTAAAGTACACAAGATGGACATATGCAGTATTTTTACTTTTACTCAAGTAAAGTATCATCTTCCATCAAATATCATGACTTCCTGTTTCAATGCGTTTTCATTGGCCGATTAGCCTGCAGCTGGGTCCTGATTGGCTGAATATGTAACTGACAGGTGCACATGATTAACGCACAGCAGGATTCCATTTCCCATCATGTTTGTTACACCCGCAAACGTAATAAACCACAAACGTAATAATACAAATCTGCAGCTTTGAATGTAATAATCCCACAAACATAATAGCAGCTGCCTACTACAAACGTAACACACAATTTTCCTGCAAATGTAATAACTATTACATTTGCAGGAAATTATTACATATGTGGGAAGGTGAAAATCTAAACTGTAATAACTTCTCACAAATGTAATATGAGACTGAATAATGATCTTTGTGGTTGTTGTTGTTTGTTTGTTTACTTTACCTGCCAATAGTGATACGTGTGTTGACAAGCAACCTGCAGGTCGGGTCAGAAAGTGACAGAGCAGCGTTCTGAGTAAGTTAGAAATAACTTACAGAAACACACACACACACACACACACACACAC